CAAATATTGATATTTTCGGCGCATATATTTATCCAAAATATTTTAAATTTTTGCCAGAATTTCTGGCTTTCTTCACATTCCCACATCAAGTGTTCCAAATCTTCTTTTAGGTCACAGTTTTTTCATCTGTCGTCGTCAACAATCCAGTAATCATACAGTCAAATAAATTTAGACGAATAGGTGACCTATTGTCACAATAGCTGATAACAGATACATAACTACTGTCAAATTGTTAGCTGCCTTAAGTACTAGTATTTGTTGTGCAAAATAGTTTCCAGTTTTATATCTCCCAAACACTTTTCAAAATATGCTCGGGCAAGTAAAATAATATTTATGAATGTTATTATTCATACATGAGTTGTTGAACACATTACATGAACACGTGACTACTATGCCTTTCATATTACACAATAAAAATGGAATATCTATAAACACGAGATATGTGTTGGCAATAAGTTACCTCACAATATAACTAGTACGCCTACCTGCTTCCCACTATTTCTCCGTAAAATAAAATAACGTGGTTGGCAAGATACTTTTCATGAAATGTTGTTCTCGAAACGGTATTTTGTAATACGTAAAAAAGCTAACGGAGGCAGGGTTGTATTAACTGTGTGCATTTATTCAGGTGATGCCACCACCGGCGACAATGAAGGAGTACTGCGTTTATTTCCGGTCGTCGAGCAACGTAAGTGCCCACGATGTGGCTAGTATCGATATACTTCCAAGTTACTGGTAAGTCGATATCCACTAGAAATTATCATGTTGTTCGAATACATGCTTTTTATATGTGCAGTAATGTTACGTTTCAATATTCCCACATTGATTTACGGACTAGTAAATGAAATAAAAGATACAATGGCCAGTTTAACACATTCCTTCGTATCAGAAGATAATATCGTCACCTAACTACACGTAGAACATGGGTGATCCAGTAGTTACTATGTCCATCAGCATACAATAACCAAAGTTCATCAAATTAGAATATTGTTAAAGTGTTCATGTGTTAAAAATATTGACTGGTAAGATTCATCCCAACCTGTCGTACATGTACCCCTACGGAGTTAATAAGTTTATTTAAAGTATTCTTAATGCAGATTTATTTAAACTAACCAAACCAGTAGGTGTATAATAATTAGCAGAACTAATTTTAGGTAAAGGGTGAACAGCATATATCTAAATAATTTAGTCTAAAATTAAACAGGATCGATTACGCATGTTGGGCAAATACTGGTAATATTGATAATATGCAATGCATTTATGCAAGCTTTATTAGACATTCAAAACGAAGGCATTATACAAGTAAAAGCATAATATACAATCGACTATTATTTTAAAGAGTGAAACACAAAATTAATTAAACAAGGACCAGTTTATATAACCTATTTGTGCAATACAGTTCTTATACCACAGATTAAACGTATATAAGTAACATACATATTATTACATTACTGTAACGTGTAACCAGAGATAGATATCGATGCTTTCAATAAACAACGTTGACTTTACGCCTTGCAACTGGAATACAAACAAGAAAATATTAAATTCAATTAGTTCTTCTTTATTATACGTGTACCTATAAAGAATCGAATACAAATTTATTGAAACATACATAACACACGTTACCTTCCAGGAACACGCCAGCTATCACCAAATTCTTCAATATTATTGACTGTCTTCAGTGTACCATCTGGCATTGGGATTTGCATATCATTATCCGGGTTACTGTCGCCATTGCCCAATAATCCACACACTTTACCAAACATGGATTGGTCAAGAATCGGAGCCACTCGGCCACTTCCATTCCATTTCAAAGAAAATCTAGATCCCAATGAAATTTTGATGTGTTCGCTGCTAACTCTAGCCACTGTCAGGTTGCCATAGGTTACAGGAGAATCAACGCCCATTATTTCGTCATTTACCTGAACGTCATAAAAAACATTACTCATTACATTGATTGCTTAAATAAATGAATAAAATTATGAGTGACGTGGCTGTGTAGCCTCATTCTACATCAATATATGTTGGTATTTATGTTATAGCATACACTGAAATATAGTAGTGGCTGTAGATTGAATATAAATTTGATAACCAGTAATAATTACAAGTCAAACTTAAGGTAGCGGGACTATTATTTGCATACTTGTTTTCATCCTCTAATTGTGACTAAGTGACTACAAATAGACACGGGAAAGTATATATTTTTAGAATCGCCAGACTTCAAGCTTTTCACAAGTGTATTTTGCATGCCCGTATCTGCATTCTACGACGCGTTACTCAACCAAAGGTGAAAAATTACTTTTTCTGTAAAAAAATAATTACGCATTTATGCTGGCGATAAGAAGTATTTTTTTCACTTTTCCTAGTTGTTCAATAGTCTGGTAAATTGAATGTGTCTGGTCAGTTTTATTCAAGCAACGCGTTTTAAAAAATAGTGTGCTGAATTTCAATTACTGCTTTAGTCGCATTGCCCCCAACTCAAACCACAACTCGTTGGTAAATAAACGATGAAATAGTTTGTCTGGACACATTCAAGTTCCTCTCACCGTCACCTTAAAGCTGTGCAAATTTGGTGTTAATCCGACGACAATAAGTATACG